TGGATTTTCTAAAGGTTATAAAATTCCCGAAGAGGCGTGGGTTTTCAATAGGTTCCCAGGAGGCCTGATTTTTTTTAAGAATATTTTCACATGGACCATTAATGGTTGTGAATTTTTTAAAGAACATTTTCTCATGGATCATAACAAGACGTGCAAAAATCCTGTTCATCTTTCGGGTTTGAATTTTCCCATCAAAGGGACTGTAATGGCATTCCGTGTTCTAGGACGGCGATAAACATATTTTAAGAATATTATCTATTATGGGTATTAGATATCCCTCACGTCATCGGTATTTCTAAAGGTTATAAAATTCTAGAAGAGAAGTGGATTTTCGAAAGTTTCTAAAGGCGTGGATTTTCTAAAAGTTATAAAATTCCAGAAGAGGCGAGGGTTTTCAAAAGGTTCCCAGGAGGCCTGATTTTTTTTTTTTTTTTGTAAGAATTTTTTCACATGGACCATTAATGGGCGTCGATTTTTTAAAGAACATTTTCTCATAGATCATAACAAGGCGTGCAAAAATCCTGTTTACTTCCGTACCGCTACAATCAAAACTAATAACATCAGCTTTGAAACCCGGAGAAGTATGGTGTTGGCCATCAAATTCTACCAAACTACACTCTACAAGACGCTGATACTGCCGGTGCTGTTCTATGGATCTGAAAAATTGGTACTTGCGCAAGCAGATGAGGCTGCTCGTAGAGTGTTTGAGAGAAAAATTCTCCGAAAGATCTATGGGCCGATCTGCGTCGACGGTGAATACCGCCGTCCAGTGAACCATGAGTTGTACCATATATTCTTGGACATCGACATTGTCAGACGTATCGAGCTGCAGCGACTACGTTTGCTAGGCCACGTTAAGAGAATGGATGAAGATGCCAAGTGATGGTTCATGCAGAAGGTGAAGGCCACGAATCCGATGGAAAGCTCAAGTACGCAACAACATCTCGAAATATGGTATTTCAAATTGGATGAGATGCGCACAAGACCGACGCACTTGGAAATCTTTTTAAGTTCGGCATATGGAAATTCTTTGATACAGAACTTCACCACACTGTGGTACAGGGTATTATGTGTTTGTGCATATATTTGTACGAGGCAAAGGGAAACGAGATAGACTCACTTTCTAAGTCGTAAACAAATTAAAAAAAAAAAACATTTATGACCCGAACTGGATGAAATTTGGCACAGCTCACTTATTTGGCACAAGGACGAACATTATAGAAATTGGGAAAAATCGGTTAACATTTAGATATATCTCCCATATATCGACGCCTCCGAACCATAGTATGCTAAGTTGACTTAGAATGTTTTAAAGTTCCTTACGTTTTTAGATACTACGGTCCTTAATTTAAATTCTCTGAAATTTTGGTAATCATCTGCCAATCCAAACCTTTTCAGACTTAGCATACTATTCTTCGGAGGCGTCGATATAGTTTCGCCCGATTTTCAGTTAATGGTTCACCAAAGGCCCAAAATATGGTCGATTGACACAAAATTTCGCACAATAAATCATAACGTGTGTCACGTTTTGTTGAAATCGGTTCAGATTTAGATATATCTCCAATATATAGTTTCATCCGATTTTTAGTAAATGGAGCACCAAAGCTCCAAAATGTAGCCGATTGGCACGAAATGTTGAACAACGTACAGAAATTAGTATAAACTACTGTGTGGAAAGTTTCACTCAAATCGGTTCAGATTTCGATATAGCTCCCATATATAGTTTCCTCCGATTTTCAGAAAATGGAGCACCAAAACTCCAAAATATTGCCAATTGACACAAAATTTTACACAACGTACTAAAGTTAGTACAGTGTAACGTGTGGAAAGTTTCTCAAATCGGTTCAGATTTTCATATAACACCCATATATATATAGTTCAGCTCCATCATAAGGTTGCAAAATAACCTACCGCGTGGAAAGTTTCGCTCAAATCGGTTCATGTTTCGATATAGCTGTCATATATAGTTTCATCCGATGTTAGGTAGAATGACATGTTTATGAATTGATCTAAGTCGGTTCACATTTAGAAAAGGTCCACATATTTTTTCTTTCATCAATTTCATGTTAATGGGCCTTTAAAAAAATGCGACATCTATAAGGATGCATCTGTTGAATATACTCAAAGTAGTGAAGAGCATAATATAGTCGGCTCCGTCCGACTTTACTACTTTTCTTTACTGGTTCATTTTACATTTTCCCTTGGATTTGGCTCGTTTTCGAAGACCTCGTGACGATCCAAAAACATCTTTCGAAGCTCCACATTCGACACCGGATGAGTTATGAGTGATTCAACGATATACTTTGTTCGTTTCTTGTGAACGAAATGCCCAAGGTTTAGTCTATGTCTACAAAGGTACAAAAAAAAGTTAAGTTAAGTATTAAGCTAGAACGGTTAAAGAATATTTGTTCAAGGACCCAAACAGCTATATATATTTTTTTTTTTTAATTGAAAGAATTTTTTTCTTAGAACAAACACAACTGATTTAACAATTCATCAACGCCCAGACGAAACGGCTGAAGCTAGAATCTTGACATTGGTCCAAATGTGACAGATAAGGTTGGGTTTTTGGAAATTCGTACTAGAACGGTACGAAAAGTACTAAATGTGATACCATTGTATTTGACGAACCGGTGGAGCTAGAACTCTGAAATTTGGTTTGGTGGTCGTTGATGGAGTGTAGGATAGATGTACCAAAAGGGTTTTTGGAAATTCGAACTATAACTATCCGAAAAATACGAAAATGTACAAACTTTGGTACAATTCTGTAGCATGTGAACGGAAAGCATTAAAAATTTGGAGTGTGAATTAAGGTTGAGAAGTAGGGGACGGTTTTGAAAGCGTGTACTCATGTGTACGAAAAGTACAATATGGTACTATATTTGGTAAAAATTTAATTTGGAGATACGAATCGAGTTGGAATCCTGGAATTTGAAATTAAAATTACCGTCGGAGTGTAGGATTGGGATATGAACGTAGTTTTGGAAATTTGTTACTTATTTGTACGGAAAGTACTAAATCGTACTATAATCGGATCACTGTAGATCTGGGATTGAGGTCTGGATTCAGTTTAAGAAAATAATACTTATGGGTACTAAATGGTACTAAATTTGGTACAATTTGAATTTTAGGTGAACCAATAGAGCTCTAATCATGAAATTTGGAGTCAGGATCACTGTTGAGGTGTAAGATTGAGATATGTAGGAAGTTTTAGAAATTTGTACTAATGTGTACTAAATTTGTTACAATTTGAATTGTGAGTGAACCGATGGAGTTGGAATCCTGAAACTTGGATTTGGAATCACTGTGGGTGTGTAGGGTTGGGGTATGCAGGAAGTTTTACAAATTTGTACTAAGTGTACTAAATTTAGTACAACTAAATTGTGGGTGAAGCCACAGTGTTGGAAACCTTAAATTTTTTATTTAGGATCACTATAGATGTGTAAGATTGGGGTATGTAGGAGGGTATGGAAATTGTTACTACTATGAACTAAATTTAGTACGATTTTATTTTTGGGTGAACCGAAAGAGTTTGAATCCTGAAATTTTGAGTTATGAACACTGTGGAGGTGTAGTACTAAATTTAGTACAAGCCATATATATGTGAATTTTGGAAGAACCCACCGGGTTATAGGCTTAGTTTTTCTTATCAACCACTTCAGCCTTTATGATAAATTGTGTAAGGACTATTTTTCCAGAAGTAAATAGGTCTAGTCAACTTAGCGCAAATGGATTTTGATAATGAAATTTGTTCTAAGAACTAATGCCTTTTGATTTTAAATCTGTATTTTGAAAAGTATTCTGTAATTTTTGTCTGAACTAACTAAACTGTTGTGAGGCTTATCTGGGAATATATTTTTTTAACTCCACCTATATATAAGACAACGAGGTCTAAAATATGCTCAATCTATTGCGCCATATAATATTATTACATAGAAATTACTTGACAATACTTCCTGAAATGTATTACTAGTTCCAAATATAATATTATTTGTAAGGTATACGACAGTCGTTCCTATTCTACATTCTAGTATTCGTATTTATTTTCTTAATTCATTCTTTATTACTATTCTAAAATAAACACATACCATACAATGCTAAAATTTGCATTATTTTCATTCCCCTCACTTCCCTCAATTTTCTTTTATTTCTTTCATTGTGCATTATTACACATTTTATTATAATGAATTTTAACCTTACAAACAACAACAACAACGACAACAAAAACTACAAAAGCATTGTATATATGAAATATAAGTCAAGCGTTAATATTTATGCTCACATACAAGGGCCTTCTATTATATGGTTTTTGTTGTAGTTTTTACCATATTTGGTTGAGGGCATAATGTGTTGGTATATGTGTGTTACGTTATAATGAGAACAATAAAATAAAAAACTTGTACCGAACAATAAACAAGAAAACATTATTTTAATGCCATTGTGAAGGTCTTCATTATAATGAGAGAGAATATGATGAAGATTTTTTTATGAATAATAATAATATTTATATATACAACTACCCAACAACTTGACATTGCTGCTCATATTGCGATTAAACTAAGAACTCATCTAAGGTGTACAGTGCACAGTGGTATTTACATGACAAGGTCTTGTTGGTAACATTTAAATGTATAAAAGCGCATTTAAAGTCTTCATCATTCGAAATTTAAATACTAATTTTATGTCTTAAAATTTTAAGTTCAAACCAAAAATAATATACAATAGAATGTATTTATAAACCCCTGTACTTTATTTTTGTCAGACAACTGCATCATCAAGTACAAAGTCAAGTTTAAAATCTTCAAGCATGACTTGAATTTCCAAAAACAAAAAACCCTCATTGAAATATTTGTTTATGTCTGTTGATCTTGACAAAGCTTACGTTTACATTTATATTTAGATGATAATATTGTATATTTAAAACATTAAATAAAAATTATTGTATTTACAACATTAATTAATTGTTTATTTGTTTTTCTTATCTCTCTCACTCGTTTCAGAACGTAAACTGTTCATTGGTATGCTAAATAAGAAACTGAACGAAAACGACGTTCGAAAACTTTTTGAAGTACACGGAGCCATTGAAGAGTGCACGGTGTTGCGTGATCAAAACGGTCAAAGTAAAGGGTGTGCCTTTGTGACATACGCTACGAAACATTCGGCGATATCTGCGATAAAAGTAGTAATTTTCACATTTTTTTTTCTAAATTGATTAATCTAACAATACTAACACGGCATGAAATTTAGGTCAATCAATTTGTGAAGTGTTGAAATTATTTAAAATTTATAATTAAAACAAATTTATTGGCCTATGACAACAGTACTTTTGATCCGACAACCTAACAGTTGCTAACATTTGATTTTACACCAGTTGGTAGTATTTATTAGTTTTTAAATAATGTACAAAAGCAAGTATGCCCCAGTCTCATAACACACCTGGAATATTGCATACAACATCAAATTGTTCTTTCTGATATCGAACTACTATTTTTTGGAAAGAATATACCAACGCCAATATTTTTGTAATTCCAATCCTCGAAATATACACTTGAGACATGTCTGTCTGTAGAGATCCCGATAGAGATCACAATTTTTAAATTTTGATATATGGGAGACATAACACTGATATTTTCTACAATGAAATAGTTGTTGTGTGCTTTCTACAATTGCAGAACTTAAGGCTCACGAAGTTTTCGTAGATGAAGTAAATGTTCGATGTTGCTTTAGAGTGATGATATGATGGATGAGGAATTCTGATATACGTCATATTAGGCTACAAATTCTTTTAAGACAATCGAAAGAAAACGGTAGTTAATAAAGCAAAAATCAAGGAAGGGATGTTCCCGCAAAAGGAAGAAGACATGAAGAGCTGGAATTTCATCAAACTATTACAGATGAGCAGGAGGGGCTGGGAGTCTAGAGACCCGAGCATAATTACCTTTATAGATAACTGTAAGGCGAAAGAATATATGTAGAGGGGCTAAAGTTTCAGGGACTTTATACGAATTGGAGGATGGAAGTCTATGTTGATGAATTGAAATGCTAGAAAATCGTTAAAGACGACAATCTAAGGGACCGGGCTTTAGCCAAGGAGTCTACATAGTCGGAACCAAGGAGTCTACATAGTCGAGGTTAATGGCACAATCTGGAGGATATAAATTGTGTAGAAGGAGGGCTAGGGATATGGTAAAGAACTGTAGGGCCAACGTTTATAGCAATGAGCGACGGCATCCACTCATACTGAAGGTCCTATGAGTAAAATGCTGAAGACCAGAGATTAAAATGAGACCTGAAGTTTAAATAAGTCTATATTGATGAGCTGGGGGGCTATAGACTTCATATAGTTGATCTGAAGAGCCAAGGAGTTTATATAGAGCCAGAGACTCACTGAGATGAGCTACACGAACAGAAAGTTCATAGAGAAAAACTTCTAAAAAGTCTCTAGAGGCGAAGTGGCTAATTTGCTTATATAGACGAGCTCTAAATGTCTAAACACTTTACATATATATGAGCTGAGGGTCAATATCCACTAATTTTATATAAATGAATTGTTGCGTCAGCGATGTCTAATTAGATGCTCAGGATGTCCATATGTACCAACTGAAAGACAATGGAAACAATCTTTAGATATGTAACACTGCATTTCCTTAATTGTCGATATAAAGGTCAAGGAGTATATAGAGGCAAGAACTTGGGAAATAAAGGGATAATATGGAGGACTGAAGGCCAAGGGAGTCTACAGTTAAGTGGATGGGTACTTGGAGACAAGATAAAGGGTCTCTCCTCAGAGGAGCTTAAACTCAGAGAGTATCTATAGACGAGCTGGAAAACGGAAGTGCAAGAACTCATTTAAAGCCAAGGGCCTGCGTAATTATGAAGATGATATGAAGGACTTTGAAGTATCTTTAGAAGAGCTCAAGCTTGGAAATTGTCAAAAGATCTGGAGGAAGTTTTTTTTAGAAAAGCCGAATTGCCAAATTGCAGTCTTTTTTTTTTTTTTTTGGAACACATACTGAATGTCCTTGGAGTATATGGCTGTAACTCAGAGATTTTATGCAGACGATCGGAAGAGTAAAAACAGAATTTGTATAGCCGAGGTGGAGCACCAAGAAGTTTATGTAAACGAACAAAAGAGCAAAGATTTTATAGAGGTGCTTTTATAAGGTGCTTGTAGAGCACTTAAAAATACGATATAAAGTCTCTTTAGAAGAGCTTAAGCTCGGAAAGTATCTATATACGAGGTGAACTAATCCAATAACCAAAATGTAGAGGTTAAATTGGCAATCTGAAGGAATTCTTTAGAACAAGGGGGCTGTGTACTTATAAAGACGAAATGAAGGATTTTGAGGTTTTTTTAGATTTTTTTTTTTTTTTGAAGAGCTAACCTACACCTTTATATTGAAACCCCAAATTGCAGTATTTTTTGCAAAATGTCGGGGGTCGTTTTATCAAAACCTTGACCTACGTTCGGGTCGGTACCTATTTTCAATACCGAACATTCTAATTCATCAACAAATTTATTAAATTGTGCAATTGAGTATTAAAGTATACAAATTTCCCTAACATAAATGACATACAGGTTCCTTAGAAATCAGATTGTCGTTAACTGTTAAAAAAAAAAAAAATTATACAAATGGATCCAGACCAGAAGGAAGGCCGAGACTGTGACTCTTTATAAAAGACCTGGGGAGATTTATATTTGTCCTGTCTATCGACTTCTTCATTTGCTTGGGTGCCGGTCGCGCATGTATTACAGATACCGAATAAGCCAGAAGTCCTGTAAGAAGGTATTCTCGTCATTGACAGTTCCAAATGACTACTTACAGACACTGTTTGTTATAAATTCAGATTAGACATTCGAAACACCTAAAATGTAGCCAGGCACTGAAAATATGACTTCTATGTCAAAAATATTGATCTCTATGTAAAGAATATTTCTATAGGAGTTTAACAGAGATTACTTAATTTTTAACTACTTCCTCCAGTTAAAAAAATGCCTCGGATTGACAAGGTTACTGCAAAAGTATTAGAAATGGCGCATTTCTGCATAAATAATTGTGTCGTTTGTAAAATGTATATTTTTATATTGTCTAGTAGTTGCTTAGAAGTAGTTTTAAGCCCCTCAACCCAGGCATAGTTTTTACCGTTATTGAGGTTTGAAACCAGGTCTGTTCTTCGACACCTCATTTTATTTGAGTCACAACTTGCCTCTGAAGTTTGCATCGAGATTTACTTCCCCTGACCTCCTTAAGGCCATTTATGTTTGTTTGGCTTATTTTTATGTGACACATTGATGCCATCTAGTGATGCCATCAAAAATATACAGTTGTTCACGATTTCTCCATGGCTGCGAGGCGTGATTCACAGAAACTCCCTATAGTCGTCGAAGAAGGAACCGTTTTTATTGACTAAACATTAGAAATTCCCGACTTTGTTTGAATAAGTAATTAATATACATGGCTAAAACCACATTTCCTTATCTACCTTAAATGTTGTGTCCAATAATTTCTTAACAATTTTGAGCTTATTTTCTTACATAGGAATTTTTTGGAACCTCAAAATTTTATTTTTATTATTATTTATTATTTTTTAATGCAATCAATGCTTTATTCCATTTTTATTAAATTGAAAAATCAGATTTTTCTAAATATTTTACCTTTCTATTTTCCAACTGGTGTAAGTTATGCAAATTTATTGTCCTGTGTAAATTGCATTTCAGTAACTGTTAACATGAAAACCCCCACCAACCAACCAACAACAAACATACTAACAACAACAAAAACATAAATAAAATCCCTGCAGTAAACTGCAGCAATATTTTTGAAAATCGTTAACGGGAAAACAAAGCCGTACCGCAAAAAAAAAACAGAGACGGATTTTCAGATTTATTACCCCATTGGAGGAAAAAAAAAACCCACTGCATTTTTTAACACAAACAAACACCAACATCAAAATAACTTCATTTGAAATTCATGGATTTTTTCCCAAAAAATTTCTCGTTTTTCTACTCCTCTTTCTCTTTTTTCAAACTCTTGTTGTTGTTTTTATTTGTTTTTCTACTATTTTTCGTTTCTATTTTCTTCTTGATTTTTATTTATATCAATTTTTCGGTTTTCCGTTTTTTCTGCAAAATTTTCATTTCATATTTGTGTGTGTGTGCGGCTGATTTTTGAACACCCCCGTCCAGACACTAAATCAAAACAAGACCATGGAAGGCTGCACCTCACCATTAGTGGTGAAATTCGCCGATACCCAAAAGGAAAAGGAACAAAAGAAAATCCAACAAATCCAAGCGAATCTATGGAATTTGGCGACGAACATGAATATACCCCTGGGACAGACAGCGACAACGGTTTCGACGCCGGCCATTATGCCAAGTACACCGCAACAGGCCAGTCCGGTATTGGGAGCCGATGCCATAACACCAGCATCATTGCAGCTGTTGCAACAATT